CAGCACCTCCTGTGGAGTCTGAGAGGCAGGATCTTCAAGAAAAATCCTGGGGGTGAGGGGGTGGGGTGGGCAGGAAGAGGGACTAGGCAGTGCGGAGCCTGGCATGGGGTAGGAGCATGATCATTGTTTTTCTAGGATGAGGGGATGGCAAAGTCCAGCAGAGAAGAGAATGCAGAGGATTTACCCACATAGCCTGCAAGTACTAATGAGCACCTGTGATCAGTTCCTGGCCAGACACTAGAGACAGACATGGTGGTGATTGAGAAGGTGCATTCCAGAATGAGTGAAGAAAACCTGCGGGGGACTTTAGGATGATGATCTGAAAGAGTGATAAGGACTATGAAGGAGATACAATAGTGTGATATGGCTGTGTGAGCAAGGAAGGCCTTTCTGAAAACGTGACATGTGAGGTGAGAATGGAATCATGAACTGGAATCATTTATGGGGTAAAATGGAGGGAAAAGCATTGAGGGCAGAGGGAACAGCAAATAGAAGAAAAAGAGAAAGAAAGACTGGAAGGGGCATGAGAGCGAGATGATGCATGTAATACCCCATGCTCTGTACAGACCCAGTAGTCATGGTCATACCGAAGCTCGAGGCTCTATTCTATGTATGTGCAGAAAAGAATTGTGCTAGTTCAGGTTAGAGGGCCCACCTGAAGCCTTCTGTAGCAGCGCCTCCCTTCCATATTGTCTCTTAATGATTTCCCAGGAGAGGAAATTAGACAGTGAAGTGAGGTGTCAACAGGGAGGGTCTGCTCCCTCTCCAGTCCTGGGCCTGGTCCCACAACCCAGCCCCCCTCGAGCCAGTTCTCTACATCCCAAGGGCAGGGGAAGGAGGTCAAGATTGGTTCTGCAAACACCCGAAACACTCCAGGTCAAGAACAGCACAGACTGTGGCCCCTCCTCTATGGGCTCCAGGAACATCTGGTTGTTGCTCACCAGCAGCTGCTCCAGCTGTGAAGCGAAATGCATAGACATCCCAACCCAGGCAGTGACGCACAGGAGACAAGGACAGAGATAAGCTTCCTGTCAGTCCCAGATGCAAGGGCAGGGTAGAGAGAAGGGCTCCTGCCAGGCGAAGTTGTGAACAGGGCTGGTGTTTGTGAGGTGTGTGTGTGTGTGTGTGTGTGTGTGTGTGTGAGGGGGGGGGTGTTTGGTGGGGACTACCACACTTTGATACCCCTGGATAGTCACTGTCCTTCTCTGTGTCTCAATTTTCACATCTATAAAAGGGGAGAGTGTTAATGATCCCTAGGGTCCTGTCCTCTCCAAGGACCTTCCAAATGTGGCCTTCCCAGGAGAGTCCGTGGCGGGGAGTTGGGGGTCAAGGACCTGCCTCTTCAGGAGGCCTGTCACTCCCATTGTCCAGCCTCCCCTCCGGAGCCTCCACTAGGGTGCAAGGGTGGATGTTTACACTCGGCAGGCTGGCCCCGGGTGGTGGTGAGAAGGTCACCCAAAGTAAACCTGCCTTGTTTGTCTGGCTTGTAGAGGGAAAAAGGCTTTGGCACACTCTAACAGGAACTTCTGCGAAAAGAAAACATATCCATCCTGGAGATTAGGCTGACTTCCGGGGCACAGATGGGCCCTTTGTTCTCTTGTGGCTTCCTAAAATGGCCTGAGGGCTGCTCTCCCTGTACCCCCTCCTCCCCAACTGGGGCTAAACATGGAGGCCCTGGGGTGGCACCTCGCCAGAAGGGTGAAGGTGGGCTTCTCACACATCTTCATCCCTTTGGCCTGTGGTTCTTCCCCCCAGCTCCACCATGAACCATAAGAAAATCTGACATTTATTGAGTACTTGCTCTGTGCCAGGCAGTAAAAAACTTATATGATCTGTTTTAATTCTTGGAACAAGCTTGTGAGATAAGTACCATATTCACTGATTCCGAGATGCCCATTTTAATGTCTCTGACATCAGAATGTGTCTCACAATCAAAGATACGTTGTTGTCGAATGGACAGCGTTCTTTCCTTCTTAATGTACATAAAAGAAGGGAGCATCGTACAGTTGAAGGCATCTTAGACTCAGTGGAACGTGGTATTATCATCATCCCCAATCTGCAGGTAAGAAAACCGAGGCTCACTCCTTCATTTCACAGGAAACCAAGGCCTAGGGCCATAGGAGGCTTGACTTAGGTTGCCAAACTGTGATGGGCACAGATAACTCTGAAATGCAGGCCTGCGGGCTCCTCACTCAGGGCCCTTTCCACTCACCCCAGATGAACTGCGTGTTCTCACTAGGGAGAGGCAGGAGCGAAGGGGAGGGCGGTGCAGGGCCTTCCTTAGCAGCCAGTGAATCACCAGCCACCTTGCCTGGAGAAGGGCCTTAAAGATAGATTTCTTTCCCCCTGCAAATTCTCTGAAGACCAAAGTTCCTTAAGGACGAAGAAAACATTTGCCTCCCTTCCAGCTCCTTTTCCTGGTAATTATTTTAGCTTCTCTTCCCCTGAATTTCTGTTCTACTGTCCCATCTTTGGACAGGAGGCTGGTCCGCCCCTTGGCACTGCCTGCCTGCCGCCTGGGGAACAGCCCCGCCCGCTTCCTGCTTTGCTCTCAGTCCTGCTCTGAACTCACCCTTTTTTTTCTACCTCAAACCACCTGCACCAACACTACTTCTAGATGCCTCTATACCCCAGGCCACTGGCTCCCACCCTGAAGTCATACACTCAGGCATACAGCCCTCCATCCCCCTTGCTCTCTATGCGTAAAGTCAAAGGAGAAAAATCGACAAAACCAGTCTTTCCTCTTGCCTCAGGGAGTCCTCATGTTGTTGGGGACGCTCCCCTGTAAATCCTAGGGCCGGCAGAGCTAGAGGTGGGGGACTAAGAGGAAGGGCAGGGGCATGGAAAGTCACAGGCTTAATTCTGTCTATGACCTACTGACTCGCCAAGTCCCTACCCCGTCCCTCTTTCTTACGCCTCAGTTTCCCCAATTTCCACGGCTGATGAGGCTCAAGTGGCTCCTCACTAGGAATCAGAAAGGCAGCCTCAGACATTGAAATCAAAGGCTTTTGTTAAAAGGCAAGCAGGCACCATTCAGTTCAGCGGGGACCGATGACAGTGCTGGTTAGGCCAGGGTCTCAGATTCTTCACAGTGAAATGAGGATTTTAGACAGGATGGTCTCTCAATTCCCATCCTACCAGCTCTGAACTGCTATGGTTCTGCCTTCCTCTGCCCAGAAGCAAATGTGGACCTTGTGTGTGAGGAGCCCATGCGCTCTCTGGGCATCGATGGCCAGGAGGTGAGTGTGCACCATGGTGGTGTGACTGTGCGTGCACACAGCTCGGGTGGATGCTCCTGTGTCTGGAGGTGTGGCCCTCCACGAGGGGCTTCTGCCATTCGTGCATGTGCGAGCGGCTGGAGGAGAATGTGCGAGCTCTCTTCCAGAAGCGGGCCCACCCCTCCCTGCGCGTCCATGCCACCGCGTGCGGCTGCAAATCTGGTTTCCATCTTCTTCCAATAGGCAGCAGGGCTGGGGGTGACTGAGTGGAATATTAATTATGCTTTTGCACGTGGCTGAGCTCCATGAATGTGGTGGTCTGAGAGAGCAGCCTGAAGCTATGTGGGGAATGAGGGGGAAGCCACAGGAGCGGGGTTCCCTGGGGTTTATAGCGTGCTGGGAGGGGCAGAGCCCTGAGACCCAAAGGGTGGGTGGCAGGGAGAGGGAGAGAGCTTCTGAGGCCCAGGATCTGGGGACAGTAGGGGAGATACTCGCTAGTTTTAGGGTGATTCTCACATTTATTTCATCCAGGGTCTAGCACATAGTAGGTGTTCAATAAGTGTTGAATGATTGAATAGTTGACTGCTCACACACATGACAAATCTCAGATACTCCTTACCTGGGAGGAGATGGAGGACCAAGTAGGAGGAAGGAAGGAAGTCGGTACACATCTACCATGTCCTGGCCACTCTGAGAGTCACCATCAGACATTTTATTTTGTTTTATTTATTTTATTTCAGATACATAAAGGTCCTAGAAGATAGTGTCACCCTCCCTGCACACACATTTCCCCCTCCACAACTTGCTCCTGTTGGAAGGTCCAGGGGAGAAATTTTCCTTTGACTTCAGGGCCCCAAAACGCTGGCTGCTTCTGAGTGGTGGGTCTATTTTTAATCTGATGGGCACTCTGGATTGTGTAGCTCACTGAATTCCATCTTTTACTTGAGCTGCCAGGAAGCTCAGAGATGAATTTTCTGGGGCCCACCTCTTGCAACAGGATCTAATGGGGATGCATTTCACAAACTAACTGCATTCCTAGCTTCATCTTATGTTTTTAGCTCCCTCTCTCCATATCCTTTTTCCTCTCTTAAAAGCCATCTAATTCCATTGTCTGTAGGGTTTCCCAAATACCTTTAATACCAGTATATCCTGAAGTGAGACAAGGTGTAAATACAAAAACATTTCACTTTTCTATGGCTCAGAGTGGTTATGTTATTTGTCCAATGACACACAGCTATTAAATAAGAGATGAGAATTTGATCTTGGGTCTGTTCGACCTAATCTTTCCACTGCACCAGACTCTAGGTCTGGATAAGTTGCACAGTAATCAGGGGGCTTTCTGGTGAGTCAGGAGGAGCCTGGGGCCTTTGCAGACTCAGCCTTTAACTCTTAACGCCCCCATCCAGGCTCTCCTCCTTGAAGACCATGTCTAGGTGGGGGCTGCCATCCCATATCATGCACAAAGAGAGGACTCTGGGGGCCCTGGGCATTCCCCCATCCTCAAGGACCAGCCCCAACCCCGCGGGCTAAGCTGAACAAACAGAAAAGCAGCAGAGCTGGCCTTGGCAATCACCAGTTAAAGCAAATATATATTCCAGATGCTCCGAGGAACGTTTCTGGAGCTTCCAGAGCTGAAGGGTGGACCAATTCTCTGGAGAAAATAAATGGATGTGGGCCCAAGGGAATCACATTTTCTTCTTAGCTCTATGATAAATAAGGATCTAAAGATCAGGGTGAGGGGCCCCCAGTGGTGCATATTCTGTGCCCTAATCTCTTGTTGTACCCCTGTGGGCCTCCCCACCTGGAGTCTTTCCTCTGGGGAGCCCCTGGATGGAGACTTAGGGGTTCCCAAGGTAGGCCTACACCTACCCACCAGTGAATTAATTCCTTACAGGGGCTGGCACCACACATGTGCTCTACAAACCTGGGGACCCCTGGGGAAGGCACAAAGGAGGAGTCTAATCTAGAATGGAAGGGGGTGTTCTGAGAGCTGCAGTGGAGAACAACATGAGAACACGGGGACACTGGCAGAGAGACATGAGCCAATGGGGAAAGACTCCCCAGATGAGCCTTGGGCTCTCCGATGTGGGGTTCCTCCAGACACCAGCACACGTGGCCTGGAGGAGAAATAGTCACAGAAATAATGATCTTTACAAACTGCCATTTACTGTGGCCCCGCTGCCCTCCAGTGCTCTGCCCGCTTGCAGTGCAGATCTCAATGTTTTAAATCTACAAAGAGCTCCTGAAATCCACAAGACAAGGACCAAGAATCCAATAAAAATATGGGCAAAGAATATAAAGTGTGGGTTTGGTACATTTATACAGCAGCATTTATCATGTCCCAGGATCTATGCTTAGTACCTCCCATGTGTATTCTCATGTAAGCCTCACCACAACCTTTGGAGGCAGATGCCACAATTACCTTGTTTTCCCGAGGCTCAGGGAGGCGAATGAAGTCACTCGTCCAGGGTCACACAGTGACTTGATCTGACTGCATGGTCCATGTTCCTAAGGTAGGAGCTGGGATGACAGCCACTATGTACTGGGACCCAAGGCCTCAGGGAAAGTCGGCAGGCACTGGGGAAGGAAGTCAAGGGAGGGGCAGTCAGCCAGGTGGAACCCTCTCTATCCAGCAATTTGGGAAGAAACCTAGACTGAACCTCCAAGAGCTAGGTAGAGGAGTTTTGGATTTTGTCTTTTTTAATTTGTTGAATGGATAATGCATCACATAACTAAAAAAAAAAAATGTAATACAACAAAAAGTAACCATCCCATCTCTATATATCCTAACCACTAAGTTCCCACCCTTTGACCAACATATAATCAATTTTATTACTTTCTTGGGCATCTTTCTATGGTGTGTGTGTGTGTGTGTGTGTGTGTGTGTGTGTGTGTATTTCTCTCTCTCTCTCTTTTTTAACTGAAAAGGAGCATTTTATATATACTTTTATATCTCCCTCACACCCTTAATATGTTTTGGTGATCTTCTCATATTAGTACAGAGACCTTCCTCATTTTTTTTTATTGGTGCATAGCTACCCATTGTAGGATTGTGACATTTATTTACCTGTACTCAACTGATGGACATTGGATGGTTTCTGATTTTTATTATAACAAACAATATAACAAGGCTATAATGATAACCTCATTCAAGCACTGCGTATCGATAGGATAAAGTCTCAGAGGTGGGAGTGCTGGGTCAAGGAGAATGTGCATTTGTAATATTGATAGATACTGTCAAATATTTCGTATCAACTTACACCCCAACAGCAATATATAACACTGCCGGTTTCTCTACTGTCTCTCCAACAGAGCATATTGTCAAACTTTTGAAGGGTTTCTGGTTTGCATGTCTCTTATTATTAGTGAAGTTGAGAGTCTTTTTAGATGTCTTAGAATATTATGCTTCCCTTTCTGTAGACTCTCTTCCTATTCTTTGCCCTTTGATAAATTGGTGGCTGGCGTTGTCTTATTAATTTCTAGAAGCTCTTTATATAGTAGGGAGATTGTGATATGATTTGCAGGGGCAGTGGGGCCACAACTGGCATCCTCTCTGGGAGAGGCTGTAGAGGTAGATTTCTTCCCCACACCTCTACCTTCCTGTGCTTAATCATGTATTCAATGAGGATTTTTGAATACTTCTTGGGTGCCAGCCTCGGTGTTTTGGCACCTGAGACCACAGGTGAACAGACAAAGCCCTCAGAATGCGAGAAGGGATCCGGTGGGGGACCAGATCTGTAATCAACGAAGTCGCAGGCTAACGTGAAACAAGCTGTAGCTGAGGGGCTGAGAACGAGGGCGGCAGTAGTACGGGGGAGGAAGCCATCGGCTGCCTGTCCCAATAGCCTCTGACATCGGTCTCACCTGGGGCTGGCTCGGAGCTGCCAAGGCTTTGAGGGTTCAGCCCTTAGACTCTGACTACAGAAATGCTCTGAACCAGGAAGACGGCTCCCTCAATACATATTTACTGAGTGCTTCCCACACGCCAGTCCAGGGGCCCACCTTGTTTGCTCTGTCCTCACGTGGCTCCTCCCTGCCCGTGCTGGTCTTCGCTGTCCGATTCTACTCGGTCCTGCATTGCTCACCACCTGTTTCCAGCATGCATGCCTCCACTGCTCGGGGATTGAAGTCTCCTTGGCGGCAAGATGAGAGATTTTCCCCTGGGTCCCCTCCCCTTGGTGCTTAGCATCTGGTGACGTTCAGTGGAGGCTTGTTGCATGGTTGATGTTGGATGGCTTGTTGGATGTCAGGGGAGTCAGAAACCATGGCTCATCTGAATTGGTGTGTGTGTGTGTGTGTGCGCGCGC